AATTCAAATAGAAAACAAATATTCTCAGATTATGTAATCCCATTGAAACATGCATACAGGCGCATACTGCGGGGATGACGAGTCAGTGTCGCCGACTTCATCTCTTAAACCGAAAACAGAAAGCACTAGTGTAACAATAAATTATTAAAACGTTAATGCAGTGTACTTGCTGTTTTTCCCTAACACATTCATAATTATTATATTTGCCGGTGCGCTGTGGCAAGCCTTTTTTGCGTGCGCTTGAGCGCTTATTAGGCTATGTAGGTAATTAAAGGCTCATTATTATGATTTATATGGTTTATTAATAAAAGTGCGACTAATAGTCGACTAATGCTTAAAAATGAATGACTACTAGTCGACCAGAAAAATCTTTAGTCGATTATGTGATTATGAACGCGATATAGCAGTAATCTACGGCTCTGAGTATTAAATGCCGCTCCATCTGAAAGCACGTGATGGAGATTTACTATTCACAGAACCGGCTTTACTGACGAGATGCGCATGACAATCACATGTGATTTATCGTGCAGCCCTAAGTAGTGCTAGGCGGTATACCGGTTCATACCGAATACCGGTGTTTATTTTTGTTATGATATGAATTTTTTAAATACCGCAATACGGTATGTTGCTTAAATAACGTTCGGAACGCGACACTGTTTGAAAGGGGTCCCTTTTCACTGTTGCACTGTGGTGAGGCAACAGCTGTATGTGTTACTAAGCGTGAAAGTTCCAAAACTGAAGCTGTAGAACTAATAGAACGTGATGACACAGAAGAACTCATCCACATTGACCACCACAAATATCCACCGCCCCCTGCCATCATGGAAAAAAGGGAGAAAACATGACAGAATAACTCGGCTGATATTGCATTTTGCGTAAAATTAAAATTAATATATTATTTGATATTTGATTTTATATATTTTTTAAAAATGCCGTTTATCGCGTTTTGGAACCAAACTCTTCACATATATATATATATATATATATGAGAAAAAGGTTTAGATTTTAAATATGCATTTGATAATTCTTTTAAATATGCAGTCCATAAAATTGTATTTCATTTTATATAATTTTTTCTATATATTTTATATTGTTATTTTTTACTTGAAAATGAAAGATAGAAGACTACATTTGAAATAACAGTGTATTAATATTAGAGGTCGACCGATTCATCGGTTTTGCCGATTAATCGGCACCGATAGTTGATTGGCAGAACTATCGGTTATCGGCAAAAATCAATGCCGATAGTTTTCCGGGTTGCGTCCATTGCTGGAGTGGCCGAGAAGGGTCCGCTGGCATTATACAGTACGAGAGCGGCCTCTAGAAGCGGAAATCACTAACAGCACATGTTGTTTGTTTTGACACGTGACACTGCGCGCTGCAGAGCGGGAAACTTCAAACTCAAAAGAAAATCCTGCCGCGGAACATTTATATAGTACAGCATTATTTTAGTTTTCGTTCAGCATTTTAACAACTATCAGTTGATTATTCAGCCAGTGTGGTCCAACCTAGCTATCGGTATCAGTAAAATCCACTATCGGTCGACCTCTAATTAATATCCATTACTGGATAATCCAGCAAATTAAATCATTTTTCTGTTGTAATTAACTTCATTTAAATATGCAATTCATAAAATAATATTATATAAATATTATATATGTTTTATATAAAGTAGTTATTTTTTTATTTTGGAAATTCAAAGAAAGTAGTTTACATTTTAAATAACAGTGTAGTCGTATCTATTATTGGATAATCCAGCAAATAAAATGTTTCTCTATAGTAATTACATTTATTTATTAATTTAAATATATAATCCATAAAGTTGTATTGTTTGATATATATATATATATGTAT